GTTCCTATCCCCTTTTTGCCCGGTCTTTCTCAGAAATGTTCGTCGGTAAATGAGATGGATTAGATTTTTTCATCTTGGTGTTTTCTCTATCGTGTGAGCTCCACACGTTCACTCTATACAGTGTTGTTTACATTCTGTGATGCGCGAGCTGATGACGTCGCTACTTCACGTCAAGACGAGTTAACTTTTTTTTCCCCACAAATTTGTGTGGAAAAATGCGGGGATTATGCGGCCTTTTGATAAATATGCGGCCTTTTAAAAATCTGCGCCATTTTGCTGATTATGCGGTAAATTCTGCGATCGCAGAATCGTGTTTTTCTGGAGGGTCTAGTTATCTGTCTTCATAAAGCAATGCATAGTAGTAATGAGATCAGAGTTTCAACAGATCTATACATACTAGATTATTTCAATACATGTTTAAGTGGCCTTGTCAGTTTGGTCTGTGAACACACATGCAGTAATTAAACATGATGCATACAAGGAGCATTTGTCCATTATGTATGTGTCTTACACAGACGTAAGGGGCTGATGACACAGGGGAGGGATGTTTATGTAAGACTCTAAAACCCTGTGCTTTGCATTTTAATGTGGCCCTCCTCATCTCTATGCTGATTGCGTGTGCCACATTTTGTTTATGTTGATCTCAACTACAAGGTTTAGTAACTGCATGTTGCAGGGTTGCGACAGACAATCCGACTCACCATGAGGAAACCATATCAGTGTTGCTGTGGCAGCTGGGGTTAGAGTTATAGTTAGCTTAGGTATAACTTTTCAGACCTTGCAACTCCTTAAGCTGAATGGATTGAATAAGAGCCAATGTTTACCATGGTTCTCTTTCTCAGTGAGCACTTTAGGCAAGTTATTTTTTAGTTCTTTCCATTCTAACTGGTAACTACTACTGTAAGACTCTAAATCGCTGACAACACAAAGATACCATATGATTCAATGTTCATTAATGTGTATTGGATCAACCAGAAGTCAGACCATGTCAGGGTAGAGTTAGGGTTAGCCTAACCAACTTGTGAGCCTATGAAGAAAGTCACTTCCTGGGTAGGGTTAGCCTGACCACACAACAGAAGAGTCAAACCCAAGAGTCTCATACGTGAAGTGACACATTTGAGATAACAGTGGTGCTTGAGGAAAGGATGGGGTTTACTTGAATCGGTAGTGGCTGTATTATTGTCACAGAGCAAAGGAGGCAGTCACTCCCTGCTTAGGGAACTATTATCTCAAATGTGCCACTTAAATGTATGAGACTCTTGGGTTGACTCTTCTGTTGTCTCTCAGCCTTCAGTGGACATGTTACCTTCCAAAAAAGGAATGTTTTTATAGTCCCTCTTCCCACATGAACTGTATGGGAACAGTTGTAAATACTTGGATGTGACGCACTAGCAAACCTTTATTGGGATGCTAATCTTGGCAGGAGGGAATGTATTAGATGGTGAAGCAACAATAAGCCTTTGGAATGGTGACACCAGAATATCTCTTGCCACCAAGTCTCTTAAGATATTCCATGTATTTTCCTATCATACACTTAAAATAAATACAAATAAAAAAATACTGTCTAGATCTTTTTTTTTCTAATGTTCTAATCAGTGAGATTTTATAGTAATTGTCACACTTTACCAGAGGGTTACCGGAGGGTTAATTTTTAGGCCGGTAACATATTAGTTTAACATAGATGGCTCAATACCAACTTGTATACATACTACATATCTGATAATTTTATATGTTAGCAAACATCTAACGTGTAGATGAATCCTATGTTAAACCACCACTCTCTCTGTAAAGCTCACTGGGGACAGGTACACTCAAACATAAGACCATGACAGAGAAACATCTGAATAAACAGACTCAAAACTAACTGAATGCTACAGAGCAGAAACAATATACAATTGGTCTAAGCTCCAATGCCACTGGATCATACTGGAGACATACATATTTAGAATTCCCTCACACACACATAGTTTTTTCTTTTTTTTTTAAAGCACACAGTAGCTCCCTAAAACACCTACTCATTACTTTTTTAATTAAATGTAACTCAAACAGCATGAAATAGGGCTATTGTTGGGGACTATTTAAAGCGGAGGATTTTACATTTGGTAGTGATAACTTGTGGCAGCAGGATGTGTGTGGGATTGAGTGAAAATAAAGTAAAGTGTGTGTGTTGGTGTAATGAAGGAACATGTGAGCCAGTGCAACTGTGTGCTTATTGATGAGTTTCTAACAATGTCAAATTTGTTGACATATGCATAGAAAAAGAAAAATCACCAGACTTGTTCTTTACCTGAAATGCATTTGCTCCAACCTTCAGTGTTAGTAAAAAGCCCACTTCCTAATGCAAATGTGTTCTGCCCTGATGTTAATGTGGGCTAACCTCAGTCACTCAAACCTTTTGTCTTGTTTTAGAATGTGCTGGTTATATCTGTGTATGTACAAGAGAGAGATAACGCTCCTCATAGACACTTCCTCAGCACTTTCAAGAGACCAACAGACGCTGACATTTAGAAAATGTTAAAGATGCAATTTCATTCTGATTTAATTGCCAGTCTGTTGGCGCTTACATAAAAATGTTTTGAGTTGGCAGTCCCTAATAGAACTAATGTTGATGCCATTTTTGTCAGGGCTGCTTTGTGAGTAAACTGTCTCGGGTACAGAATATAATTATTCTAATATGAAGGACCTTCAATCTCTGTCTCATTTCAAACCCAAATCTTGTCCTCCAGTGTACCCCTTCTCTGTCTTCTTTGAGACTATTTTGATTTCAAATTATTTATAGAACTGTATATCATGGAGCTAAGCTGCACATTTTTTTTTATTGGACTCTGAGTTGACACTGAATATTATAGTAAAACTGCTGATATTGGGGCTAATTTTCTATATTCGCTTATAATGTTGACACATTAACAAAGACTCAATCATTAATCATCATCAAGAATCCTTCCTAGCCTCGGAAAACGAAGAATGGTGGAACAGGCTAACAGGTGTGCGTCATATGCAAGGCCCCGCCTTAAATGGAGCACGATTTCCGACAAAGATTTTGGAAATTTGTCCGTGCGCAAAGCATTGTGGGGATTTTAAGACCACGGAGGATGCAGCCTCGAAATTTCCCGCAACGAAGGACGCCTTCCTCAACATTGAGAAACACCCTGAGTTTCCCATACACATGCTAATGGAATTAGCATTGCGCATTGTTTTAAAGTTCTCACACATGACCCTCTCACACAGTGCAAAACTCTGCCGAGCAGAAAGGGGCAGCACAAGTTAAACTTAAAAGGGAAAATCAACACAGACCCCACAAGAAGAAATGCCTAAAATGACCTATTTGGAGGTTTTCGTAACAAGGACTTTAAACTCCTTATCAATGACTCTTGTGTCCATCCCATGGGCAGGTCATGGTAACAGAAGGCCTAGCGGAATTCCCTCTCCCCAACAACTTTTTACAGTCCAGTATGCCAAATCACTACCTTTTGGTCACTTCCAAAAGCTCATGACCATAGGTGAAGGTTGGATTTCCTACCGAAACACTAACCCAAAATCGACTGGTAAATTAGGAGTGTGTGAGGCTGAAAGTTGGGTAACGTCATCATAATCACTGTACCTTCTCATATGCGTTACACAAGTAGCTAAAGTTGTCAATTAAATGCAGAAGAACACAATATCTTATTCTGAAATGTAGTGGAGGATAAGACACATGAAATAAACATTCTCAAGGATAATTGCCTTAGGATTGTGATAGAAGAAATTGCTATTCAAAAACAATATATGTAGCATCTATACTCATATCTCAAAACAAATATGCCAGGGGAGCAGTGTGGGGGTACAGTGCCTTGGTCAATGGTTGGGGTTAGGGTTAACACATTGCCAGTGCCCTTGATGTAAACTGGCACCTTTGGATAGCCAAACACAGTTTGTGTTAAAAAGCATTTACCTTCAAATCATTTTGTGTGGGATTAATGGAGACAACATGTGTTTAATAAAACACAGAAAAATCCCTCCCTAGAGTTATTTGAAATGTATTTTAGCAAGCAATTAATGTAATTTCCGGGCACTACGCTCTCCTCAATTCCAGTTGTAACAACACTTTTTATGAGAGCATAGAGAACTATGGGATGTACGGTTTTTGAGTGCTGACTGCTTGGAAATCATCGAAAACGTATGTCTTTTTCTATTAACATCTGAAACTCCCTTGATAACCCAGTGGGACCCCCCCCCCCCCTGCTGGAGAACTTTTTACCGAACCTTTTCAATGTTAACGTTTGTTTCTGCATGTGCTTGTCTTTGTCAGACAGAAAGTGTTTGAAGATGTCCAACGTTTCCTGAATCCTGACGACATCATCGACCAGGTAGTGTTTGACCTGGAAGACAGCAGGTAGGCAACAACACAAACACGATCGGAGAAACAACATTCATCAAGCCTTCGCTTTCACATTTGTCTTTATTCTTTGCCCAAATGGGAGGCGAAATAATAATTTTGGTCCTCTTTGTCTCTTTTTCCTTCAGTCTTCAGTGTCCATCTGATTCCTTGAGGTTTTATTCTAAGTTTGAATGTGGGAACCTAAGGAAGGCTGTTCAGGTCCGAAGGTAAATAAATGTCTTCTTCACTTCTACACAGTCCTGGCTCAGTGTTTTCCACTCATTATCGTCGCTTTTCCTCTCTTCTTCAGATATGAATATGACCTCATACTGAACGCGGATGCTAACTGTAACCAGCACACGCAGTGGTTTTACTTTGAAGTCAGTAACATGGTCCCAGGCACCCCCTACCGTTTGAATGTCATCAACTGTGAGAAGAGCAACAGCCAGTTCAACTATGGTGAGAAGGGGTGTGTGTGTGTGTGTGTGTGTGTGTGTGTGTGTGTGTGTGTGTGTGTGTGTGTGTGTGTGTGTGTGTGTGTGTGTGTGTGTGTGTGTGTGTGTGTGTGTGTGTGTGTGTGTGTGTGTGTGTGTGTGTGTGTGTGTGTGTGTGTGTCACAAT